ATGATTAAATTAAGCTGCTTTATTATTTTTTATAAACACAATGGAAATGTGCTCATAAACATGTTGGCGCTCCGTGTTTGAGGGTCAAAAGCTTCGTCCTGCGCCATGACTGGATTTGAAATATTGAAGCGCACACAGGGTTTTGCAGCATGCTTACACTTCAGGGTTAGAGGGATATTCTCTGGGAGAGTCTGAACAGGATGAACTAGATATTGGAATCAGCGGTAGGATTAAAATGATCGAGGCTAGGTAGAGCGGTGTTTTTCTTTTCTGTCTCTTACACAGGAAGGAGCAGATACGAGGCGAGGTCGGAGGTGAGCAGACGGGAGGACTCGTAGGGATCCAGCAGACGTTGGTTCTGGAAGAAGCCGTCCGGCTCGCTGAGGGTCGTCCTTTGTGTGAAGACAGACGGCTGTGTCACACAGGGGGCGAGGCATTTAACTTTTCAACTGCCAAAGCAAATTAAATCGTTTTAATTCAATTCAATTTTATTTATATAGCGCCAAATCACAACAAAAGTCGCCTCAAGTCGATAGATATTTCTCCTGAATTCCTTTGGAAAATATTTGACACATGCCCGAACCCTTCCAGCAGGTGGCGCTAGCCCTGATACAGCTGCTTCATCATCACCATGTGGAAAACTTTCTGTGAGGCCTCGTTAACATTAGAAAGATCTCAGGTGTGAAGGTGGCCTCTTGGTTTGATTTAAATAAATGCTGCTGCAGTACCAGCTGTTGCCTGCAGGAGGTGACACACAGAGGCGAGTTTCTGCCTTTTCACGGAGGAGGTGGAAACTTTTTTGCAGCCTGGTTCTTTGCTAACAGACCGCTGCTGCTGTTTTATGGCTTTAAAGGGTTAAAAGTAACAAGGTGAAGAAACATGGAGGAAAAAGCCTGAAAGTGGGCGTGTTCTGCTTCTCCTCACTCCTGCAGCTCCGTGGTTTGGATTACTCGTTAGGAAAGGACCTGGTGTTAAGCTTCATGTCCACGGACATCGTGAGTTTTTAAAACCTGAGCTGAAAGACGTGCTGCAAGTGAACAGAGCCGATAGAAAAGCTACGGAGGTGAGAACGACCACTGAAGAGATTCTGGGGTCATAACAGGGTGACCAGCAGGGGGCGACGCTGGTGTGCGACTGGATACAAGTCCATGAGAAAATGAGCGCAGGGAAGTCTTTCCTGATGAGTCGCTGGTTTCACGTCTGATTCATTACAAAAGTTTATTTTTTCTAAATTCTGGTCCCGTTAATACAAAGCAGGAGTGGGCGGAGCCAGGTGACAGAAGGAGAAGGTTTAACGATGGTAGTGACACCTGCTGATAGAAGGGATAGAAGATGATTCGCTGTGGAGAGCAGCTGACAGAGGAAGGAGGCAGAGAAGCAGGCCGTGGTGGAGGATGGAGGCGGGGCTTCCATCAGTACAACAGAGCCGCCCACTTTCAAAACACCACGAAGGTGAAAATGCTCAAAAAGGTGCTCACGGTGGAAACGTCTGTGCTGCATGTAGGAGGAGTACATAAGCTCCGCCCACCTGATGTTTATGAAGGATAGCCATGAACAGAAAGTTTGTGTCAGATAAAGAAGGATTATTTTGAGTCGTGAATCATGCAAAGCTGCTTCAAGTCCACGAGTGAGGTCCAGACCTTCCTCCCCCTCTTCATCCCTCACGACATCACGTTTAAAGTCGACCATCAGGAAGTGACCGATGAGCAGAGGAGAATCAGCAGCAGGTGAGCGCAGGTGACAAGGAGGAAGAGGCGGAGCTGAATTCAATCTTCTTGTTAAAGGTGAAAAGACGATCGACCTGATCGTGTTCGGACCTGCAGACGGCGTTGAGAATGCAGAGCTACAAACAGGAAGCTAAAGGGCTGCGCCGTCCCCTCACTGTCTGGTTTCAACCCGGGCATCCAACCGAGCTCCCGTGACTCTGGGAGCAAGGCTCCGCCCTCCCATGACTCGCCGTCAGACGTCGCTCATGTCGAAGGCCCTCATCAGCAGGTCTAGGTCGCCCATGTTGGCGGCCTGGAACAGCTCGGGGCGGTCCATCATTGAGATGGCGATCCGCAAGGCGGCCCAGATGTTAGCCGACATCTGCTGCTGGCTGCAGCGCTGACTCCGCCTCTGCTGGTTCAGCGCCGTGAGGAAGTTACTGACCGCCTCCCTGCAGGAGCAGGACTGGGGTTATACAACTACATCGCCGCAGTAAGGCTGGTCTGTGTGAGGTCAGAGGTCAGTGCCAGGGTTACCTGTGCGCTCCCAGGTTGATGCAGCTGATTCCCAGGTTGTACCGCGAGCGGATGAATCCGGGCTGCAGCTCCAGAGCTCTGGTGTACGCCTCCACCGCCTCCTCGCTGCGGTCTCCGTTGGCGAGTGTGGCTCCCAGACGGTTCCACAGCAGGTAGTCCTGCAGAGAGAAACCAGTGACATCATCACTGCTCGCATGAAAGGACCGCCACCATGTTGACGTGTGTGCGTTACCTGTGGCCTGACGGACAGCGCCGCACTGAAAGCTTCCACCGCCTTGTCGAAGTCGGAGCTCAGGTTGAAGAGGACTCCCAGCCCGGTCTGCAGGTCGGGGTCCACGCCGTCCAGATTGAGCAGAGCCGCCTCCTGGAAGAGGAGCAGCACGTCCTGCAGCTCGCACCTGCACACACACACAGCTCGGTTCCATCCAATCACAGAGCATTCGGAGCTTTACGAGAACATGACTTCATACCTGGCAGGTGTGGAGGTGTGGGGGCCCCTGCACGGCATGGCCGGGGAGCCCCGTAGCGGACTCCTGCTTTCCTGGACCAGGTGTTTATATCGCGGGTTGTGACAGATCCAGCGGCGCAGCACGTCGCCGGCCTCCCGCTGCATGCCGCTGTTAGTGAAACTGACGGCGAGCGCCATGAGGGCCGGCAGGTTGTTGGGGCGGAGCTCCAGGCACCTGCAGCAGGTAAAGCAGGTTAGCTCCACAAACAGTTAGCATGTCAGGGTTAAATATAAAGCAGAGCTGTCCAGCATGACGGCGACTGACCTCTGCAGCGACACGATGGCGGCCTGCTCGTTCTCGTTCTCAGCCTGAGTCATACCCAGAAGCTGCCACGCCTGAAAACGTGAAGAAGAGGAATGTGAGAACTCACTGATTCTGGACCGAGCAGAAACGACCTCTTCCTGGCTGAAAATGGTTGGACATCTAAACGTCACGGAGCTCCGGTCAGCACGTTTAGGCCCCGCCTTCTGTGGGACCGCTGGGTCTCGCCACAAACCTCTGCCTCACTGTTTTTTCTCACTTTCAGTGCCATGCATCATGACACAAAGATGAAGGTGTTCACACGCAGCGCTCAGGCGTTTGTAGTGCACGTGTGTGATGATGCTTCGCCTGGCGGTGGTGATGTTTTCCAGCACCTTCACTTTATTTTTAACATCGTCATCACCATGGTATCTCGGTGGAAAGGCGTGCCTTTTCTGGCTTCCTCGTTGGACACGATTGTTTCCGTCCTTCACCCCTCGGAGCGCTTCCTGATGCAGAGAAATGTGGGCGTGGCAGACTGGAGGCCGCGAGCATGCGTCACCAACATGTGCTTGGTGGTACAAACAGAACCGGCCAGCACAACGTTTCATATGTCACATGATAACTTTCATCTCAACTCCCACCGGTCGTGTTTCTTCCTGTTAAAGGGAGTTTTTCTGCCCACTGTTGCCAAACGCTGGCTCATAGAGGTCTGACTGTTGGTAGGATTTAGCTCTACATAAACAGAAGTTTAATTCGATGTGTCTGGAGGAATCTGAGATCCTCTGTGACATCAGAAGATGGCACACTGAGGTGATAAAGGGATGGACGAGGTCAACACTGTGGAGTTTAAACAGTCCTCAGTTTGACCTTCATCGTCTTCATCGCGTCTATGCTCTCTCTCGTCCAAATAAACAAGCTGTGATCAGCTGTTGAGTCTGAGAGATGAGACTCCCATCGTCACATCTGCAGATGTAAACATCATTCATGGATGGCTGCTGTTGCAGACCAGACACAGTGAAATGATGAACAGCGTCACCTCTGAGTCCTGCGGGTCCTGCAGGATGGCGGCCTCCAGCAGCAGCACGACAGTGTTCAGGTCTCCCTCCCGAGCTTTCTCCTGAGCCTCGGCGAAGGCGTTGGGCCAGTCGCTGTACGGGTTGTTGGTGTTGAAATAGTAACCCTGCAGCACACACACA